CAGGTTCCTTCCTTTAGTATTAGCTAACTTTATTCTTTAGATTTTTGCTGTTCCTAATGCTGGTAAATCCAGCTGGCATTTTTGAGATCATGTCAAAATGATAGCTGTTTCTTCACATTATGCAATAGATTCCTTTTCTGATCTTCCAGGAAATGAGAAAGGGACTTTAGAAGCCCCAGGTGACTGTGAGGGTGGTTTCAACATCACAGCTGTTGTAGAAAGCATGTATAGCCAGTAGAGCCTGATGGAGATGCTATACCACAGAGGTTTCTGGAATTTTAGGGGCAAATCTGAAGCACCTGGCAGATGCCAAAGGTGTCTTTGCTCCAGTAAAAAATGGGCTAAAACCTTTTAGCTTTTATTTTCACATGTTCCAAACCCTGTACTTGGCAACCAAGAATGGATCTTCACACACATCTTGTGTGAAAGCTGCCTGGAGAGAAAGACAGCTCCATGCAGCTTCTCAACAATCTCCACATCATTAAAATTATTTTCAGAATATCCCAGGCATGATAAACACCATGGTGCTGCATTTATGTACCTGGAACAGTTTGTAGCAAGGTTTGACTTCTGAAATATTTTGTGATTGCTCCTTCTCAGGGATCTCTCCCAGCAGCTGTCCTTTGTTTCTCAGAGGTGCAGCTCTGGGGTGCACTGCTGATGGCCACCCCTGACCCAACTCCAGTAACAAAAGTGGGGATGTTACAGCTCCAGTCCATATGCCAGCAAAAAGACCTGAGTAATTCTGGCTGCCCATTTCAGCTTATAAATGTGGAGAGTTTCTCAAAAATTTAAAGTATTCAAAGTGCTAATTTTGTTAATTTTCCATTTCAGTGGAAATGGAGTGTTCTGAGGATGTTCACACTGAAGCCACCCATTGGAACTTTTACAATGTACTTTAAAGGAATAATGGGATTGAAGAGAAGTAATTACCACTGGCATTTATTTTCCCATTCCATTATGTCAAAACCTTTTTTTTTTTTCAGTAGCCCAGATCACTTTTTTTTGACAGCACAGTCTAATCTACTGCTAAAGCTTGATCCTGCTTTTGCTCTGGGGCTATCTTAAATTTTTACAGGATTCTCTCATCATCTATTTTCTTAGCAAGTCACTGTTGTGATGCTGTGATTTTAAAACCACAAAACTCTCCATGTCCTTGACATGACCCAGACATCCATATCCAGTAAGAAAAGGATTTTAATTTTATGCCAGCAATAAAAATTCATCACTGGAACACTTATAATTTGAGACCACACAATAACCAGGCTCATTTATTTCCCAGTGCCAGCATTCTGCAGGTGCTCTGAAAGATGGCACAGACACAAACCATTACTCCTCTCCTGAAACATGAGGCTCCTCTCGAGCTGTCTGTCAGTCTCTGGCCCCCTTCTCCCCTGCTGCAGGAGTCACAGGTCATTAGGGTTGTTTTGCTGTGCAGATATTCTAGTCACCCCTCACTTCTTGATTTGGTCCATTTGTTGCTGCTGCAGACACACTTCTAATGGGAAAAATAAAGGTGGCCTGAGGACAGACATGATCAGTAACTGAAAATTCCTGCAGATTTGTACAGAGAGATATGAAATACAAAATTTTAGAGCAAGGTTGCTGCTGCTCATATCTGACTTCAGGGAATTAAGACCTCCTTTTTTTCCTGCAGCTGAAACTTATCATCTGGTAAAATTCACAGAATCACTAGTCATAAAATCTTCAATACTTTTCCAGTTACCTGGATTCAAGAGATGTTTCCAAATTCTCACAAACAGTTGTTTGTACAATTAAAACAGTTTTCTTAAAAGAATTAGCTTGCAACTACTTATTTATAAGCTAGATACACAAATGGCAACTCCTTACACACAGTGTACAGATGCCCTAAAGTACCAGCACTGAACAAACAAAACTGACTCAAATAAATGAAGACTCGTATTTTTAATACACACAACTCATTCCTGAGGGCTTGATCAAATAAACTACAGTGACTGAGATAAGGGACAGAACATAACTGAAATGAGAAGATTGTAATGCTTAGGCTGAAGTATGATTTAAAAGATAGAGGTATTCAGAGACTGTAAAACCACTGGTTTGGGCCCTTTCTGGCACAGCCAGATGCACTTTCAAATTTCTATGTCAACTGTTTCCTGGGTCTGATGGAAATGATAGCAGGCTAAGATCCCTTGAAATTCATGGCACAGGGGTTGCCAAGGTTTTCAGACTAACAAAACATCAACTTGCTAGAATCCTCATATGTCAGGAATGAAATGTTTGATTTAAAACAGCACATAGTGTAGCTCTGTAGACTTCTCAAGGCCTCAGCGACCTCAGATGGCAGCCACCTGCCCACCTCTTGCAAACTGTGCTGTGATTTTCCTAAGAACAAACAAAAAAAAATAAAAAAAAATAAAAAATGAAAATACTTAAATGTTAGTCTCTCCAGCCATAATACAGGTAGATGGTAAATGCAGTTGCTAAGTTGCTCTCACTTTTTGAAAAATCATGGCACTCAGGCAGTCAGGTCCCCAGTGACTGGTAAAAGGGACACATCAGACCCATTTTAAAGGGATAAAAGAACAGGGCCCTGGGAACTCTTGACCAATCAGCCTCACCTCTGTGCCCTGAAAGATCCTCCTGGAAGCCACCTCAAGGCGTATGGATGGGAGAGAAGTGATTAAAGATAGCTGGCTTGGCTTCACCAAGGACAAATCACACCTGCTTACTTTGAGCCCTTCTATGACAGAGTGACTGCGCTGGTGGATAAGGAAAATCCATCTGATGTCATGCACCTTGACTTCTGGCCTTTGACAGTCCCACACATTTCATTTCTAAACTGGAGAGGGATGGGTTTGATGGATGACTACCTGATGGACAAGGAATTGGCTGGATGGCCACATGCAGAGCATCACTCGGTGGCTCAGTGTCCAGAAGGACACCAGTAACAAGCGGTGTCCCTCAAGGGCCTGCAGCAAGGCTGACGCCGTTGGACCTTCATCAACGGCACAACAGTGGGACTGAGCGCCCTCTCAGCAGTCTGTGGGTGACACCAAGCTGAATGATGCCATGGAGTCACTGGAGGCAAGGGAAGCCATCCAGAATCACCCTGGGACAGGCTCGAGGAGTGGGCCCATGAGAACCTCATGAAGGTCAACACAGCCAAGTGTGGGGTGCTACACCTGAGTCAGGGCAACCCCTGGTATTGATGCACACTGGGGGAAGAATGGACTGGGAGCCCTGAGAAGGACTTGGGGAACTAGATGATCTTTAAGGTCTATTCCAAACCATTCTACAATTCTATGTTTTTTTAGTGGTGGATGAAGACTGGACAGGAGCCAGCCACATGCTCTCACAGCCCAGAAAGCCAACCATAACCTGGGATGCATCAGGTGAGTGACCAGCAGGCCAAGGAGTGGAATTTCCCTCTCCTCCATTCTCCTGAGACCCCACACAGAGTACTGTGTTCAACTCTGGCGCCAGCCACATAAAGACATGGACCTGTTAGAGCAGGTCCAGAGGAGGGAGACAAAAATGGTCAGAGGGGCTGGAACACCTCTTCTATAAAGACATGCTGAGAGAGTTGGGGCTGTGAAGAAGGCTCTGTGGAGCTTCCAGTGACTAAAGGGACCTATAAGAAAGCTGGAGATGGACTTTTTACCAGGACATTGATTTTCAAGTAAAATAAGGCAATTTTAGATTAGATACAAGGAAGAAATTCTTTACTGTGAGGGTGGTGAGACACTGCAACATATTGCCCAGAGAAGCTGCAGATGTCCCATCCCTGAAAGTGCTCAAGGTCCAGTTGGATGGGGCTTTGAGCAACCTCATATGTGGAAGATGTCCCTTCCCATGGCAGAGGGTTGAAACTTTAAATCTTGAAATCTTTAAAGGCTACCTCCTGCACAAACAATTCTGCAATTCCACAATTGTATGTTCCTGCTGGCCAATCTCTCTCTGGCCAGGAAGACCCAGCACTGGGATTTCCAAAACTACAGTCATCAGTAGAGGAGTATATGAGAAGAACATCATCCTTTCATCATTTCACCTTCTCACATGAAAACTGTCATCAAATCCATGGAGATTATTTTTTGTCTCCCCTGACCATTCCTGGTGGGTGAACTATCTTGCAAAGGAGTAATACAGAAATTAATCTATAATTTTTATGGAGAACTGCAGTGATGTTAATATACCTTGTGTCCTAAACAGTACTGCCAGTATGAGCATGTGAAGCCAGACAGCTTCCCAAATTCCCAGAGGAACAGCAAAGATGTCATTTCAGAGGGTGATAATGTCCATAACAACAGGGCACTAAGTTGTTTCTAGATGTAATAGGAATCAAGATACTGGAGCTTAAAATGTTCCCATCATCTTTCCTCACATGATGATTTTAGCAGCTAAATACATGACTGCATAATACCCTATGAAAACCAGAATATCAGGCTTCCAAATGGTGTGAAGCACTCACTTTAAAATAAAGCTATGCCTGAGACAACAGCCACTAAAACCACATCCCAACCAAAGTGAATGGAATGGTTTCAAGTGAAAAGGGTGACTTTCAAAGCTTGTATCCGTCCACAGTGCTTGTCCTTTCCCACTGCTGTTACTGCTCTCTTCAGTAATAGTTTCTTCTGGGAAACTATTCCCAGAAAGGAGTGATACCAGTGGCACAGGATGAAGGTCTGCAGCTGCCCTCTCACTGAGACTGTCCCCTTCTTGCTTCCTTGAAACAAAAAGGCCACTGACTAGAGTGGCAGAGGTGTCTGGTGGTGCTGAAAGCAGAGCACTAGGAAGGCTAGAGCACTGCTTTTAAAAGAGTGGAGTAGGTACTCCAGCTTGAAGCTCCACAGAGTCACAGTTGAGCTGCAGGGAAATGCAACAGCATCAAAACAAAACACAGTTGGGGGCAGGGGGGAAACAAATCATGCTCTCATTACAATAAAAGCTACTTTGACCCACTTTCAAAACAATACATCCATTTCACCTGCAACTCTCATCACACAACAAACAGAACTAAATATATTGAACAAATCAGCTCATAATTGTCCCTTTCCCCATTCAGCCCTTATCAAGGTAACATCTCATCAGTCATTTTCTTACAGTGTCTGAAAGAATGTGGATTTTCTTTCGTGATTTAGGGCCTGATCAGCTGAAGGCAGTCTGCAGTTGTAAGAACAAGGCCTCCTCCCAGCACGGGAATGATACAGAAAAGGCTTTAAGTATGGAGACAATTTTGATCCAAACAGAGAACTGAGACAGAGAGAGCAAGAGGCACACACGCCTCCCTCTGCACGTGGGACAGAGCAAGAGGCACAAAGGCAGCCTCACTTGTAGTTCAGGGCTGCAGGGAGGGCTGCAGGGGCAGTAGGGACATGGCTGCTGTCCAGTGCAGAATGGAGGGCACTGGAAAACAGGGTGCCAAAGAGACCCCTAGCCTCATTTTCTGGGCAGACTCCCAGAGCCTCTGAGATCGAGTGCTGTCCATGGGAGTTGGTCTCTTACAAAAGCCTCAGCTCCCCTGGATGAAGCAAAAAATTGAAACAGTCCATGGCTGATGGCTGCAAAGGTTCACAGAGGCATGTTTAGCTTGTTGTTCTGCATCTTCTCCACTGCAGTCACCTCATGATATCCAGCCCATCAACATGACAGGTCCACAACTTCAAACCACAAGGGACATCCTTGTTGGGAAATCATTCTGAGAGGAAAGAGAGAAGATTAAATGTCAACATTTAACAGGAAAGCCATCATTGGAACAGACAAAGGGACAGACAAAGCTTCGACAGAGACACAACTAAACAGCAACAGCTTTGTCCACTCGTGATCCGGTCCTCTCTCCCACAGCCAAGCCACTCTAATGATAAGATCTTCCTCAAGGTGCAGACTTCCCCAGATGGGTTAGATGGGGAACATCCCCTCCCCCAGCAACCATGAACCCATCGGTCCTCACTAGACTGGACTGTTACAGGATATTCTGCACTTGCTGGTATCCTGGGTGAGGAATGCCTTTGGCATGAATGGCCCACATGGAAGCCCATGGGAGTCTCTCTTTTCAGAAAGATGTCTCTTATATCATCCCCTGCTGCCAGCCCTGTCCCAGTCCAGAAGAACAAGAGCCTCTCAACCCTTCCTTAACAAGGCCAAAGCAAAGTCCTGTAATTTCTGTAAGGCCTCGGTAACTTCCCTACCACAATCCTCCTCAACTCTAGATAAACTCCCACCACCTTGGATTACCAGGCCACAGATGCCAAAGACATTGCTTACCTCCCCAGTCCCAGGCACATCTGGCTTTCCTCTCTATCCAGGACTCCATGTAGGAGCTATTACCCCTTCTGGCTTCCTACCCCCACAGTTCCTTCCCCCTTCCCACAGGAAGTGACACCCAGACTCCAGGTGTTACCATCCTGAAAAACCCCATTGCCCATCAACTCTGGTTAGTAACCCCTGCCTGGTGGCTCTCCGCTCAGCCTATTTGGACCAGGACCACCAGACATGGCCTCACTGTTTTCTTGGGGTCCTTTTTCCTCTTCTTGTCAGAGGCATTGAGGTAGGCCTGTTCCCTGGCCCTGTAGGAAGGGCCTCGGCTCAGCTCCCTCTCGCTGTAGGGGGGCAGGCTGTCCTCCTCCTCGTCCTCCTCGTCCTGCTCGGGGGACGACGACTGCTGCGGCTGCGACTTCTCGGCTTTGTAGGTGGAGGGCGGTGACCAGGCATAGTAGGTGCTCCCTCCTCTCTGGCTGGGCTGCGAGCTCAGCTTCGAGGGGGTTGCACAATGGTCACCACTCTCGTCGTAGCTCCGGGATTTCCTCTCCAAGACGCTGCTGAGGTAGGAGTGATCGTATTTCTGGCTCCCTCCGGGCGTCCGGCTCACCAGCCTGGGGAAGTGCTTCTCCTCGTGGGCCCGTCTCCGGGGCGGGCTGTAGGACCAGCCCCGATCCGAGTCCGTCAGCGGCTCCCGGTTGCCCCTGCAGCGCTTGGTGTAGTATTCCTCCATGGAGCTGTCCTGGTGGGGCAGCCCCCCGCCGCGCCCGCCGTGCGACTCGGAGCGCTCGAAGCGCCGCATTTCCTGGCTGTCCGCCCGCCGCGGCCGCTGGCTGTAGGACTCGGCAAAGGCCGCCAGCTCGTCCATGGACACGGCCGGCACTCCCACGGAGAAACTCTTACGGGACAGCATCTCCGACTTGGATCTCTGCTGGCTGGAAGAGGGAGGAGGTAGAGTTAGAGGGCAGGGTCCAGCTGTGCTCATCCCCTCGGCTGCCTGCACAGACAGTGGAGGGAAGCAGGCCCTCCTGGGGGCACGAATCGTCTGAGCTGTTTTCGTCATTTTCAATAGGAAGAGATCTATCACATCACTGAAACCCTGGGTTCTCTCTGCTGACTGTAAAGGCAGCTTAGTGCAGATAGCTCAGGTCCTTCATGTCTAATGTTCCTTGAGGTTACCCCCGGGGTGCACCTGCCCTGTCCTCCAGTATGCAGGGCTGGACCTGCTTCTCCTTCATCCTAGACCTTCTAGGTATATATCTTGCTGGAAAAACCCAAGAACCCAGCCATAGAAGCTCACAGCAGGGCAGTTTTGAAGAAGGTTTAAAGACAGCTAGTACAATAGCCCAGAACTGAAGGAAATCCCTGCCATTGCTTTTGGGATACTGGGCTGCTTGAGGGAAGGTTGTGCTATCTCTCTTCTAGGCACCAGAGTGCAAGTCCTTGAGGCCTGGAGCACTGGTCTAACTGCACCAAAGCAGGAGGGTATGACTCCTATATAATAAAGCCCACCAGCACTGGGAAGTGCTGGAGGCATAAGATACAAAGCTCAAGAGAGATATTTGCACTTTCCCACTGTGGGCAGCTTGGCTTGGTTCCCTATTGATCTCACTTTTACATCCCACTGGGACTGGGGCTTGTACCTGGCTTTACCAGCTGGGTAAGCTTCAGCAGGCTTGTGGCAATCAGCTTCATTCTGACCTCATCTAATGACACGTCCAGATTTCCTATTCCTCTCTAGCCCCTCTCTCCTGCTAAGCAGAGCAAGGGCAGCAGGAAATAGGGGGGAGCTACCAGTCCATCTGTCCCTTCTGCTTTCCTCACCACTTTGCCAGATAGAGCTGCCCCCCGGCGCGGTGCCCCTCACCTGTGCCAGTAGCTGTCGCGCTCATCCCTGTACTCAGACACAGCCTGTGATCTGGAGGCGCTGCCCCCGCCCACGACTCCTGCCCAGTACTCGGCATCGCCGTCCATGTCCCCCGCGGGGGGCAGAGGTTTCCTCCGCGCCTGCCGGTAGGGCTGGCGGAAGTTCAGGTCCTCCTCGTGCAGCGAGCTCAGCTCAGAGACAGTGTTGTTATCTGCAGGGGAGGATGCAGGAGAGAAATGAGATGGGCATCGCCTGATGGCAGCCAGGCGGGGATTCTGAGGGTATCACAAATGGCATGAGATGCCTGTGCTCCAGATAACAGCCTTCAGGAAGAGCTTCCCCCCAGTAATATGTGTGAGCTCCCTGCCCTTGAGAGGTGGTCACCAAGCTTGGTGGGACACCACTACAGCACAGAAGTTGTGCCACCTCCCCTCTTCCTGGTGTGAGACAGGCTGGCTCTGGATTTGGCCTGACTTGCCCAACCCAAAACAAAAGCAACCCCCTCAAAAAAAGATTAAGAAAAAAAGTAAAAGGCTGTCTGAATCACTGTCAGTCTCTACTCCATCAAGCACACTGACATCTGTAGGCCTGACATACCAATCTGCAGAGGTCTTTTTATAGTAAATCTTGTGGGTGGAGAAGACAGTGTGCTCAGCAATGACTGTTTTAGAAGTATATATAATTTGTTCGTTATGCCTAATCTGTAGAGAGCTTTGATGTGGTGTCATTCCTTAAAACCCTTCCCTCCAATGATTTTCAGGATCCCAGATGTCTGTTTTAAGTGAGCCTCTAGCAGTGCCTAACATGGGTTAGCTCTGTGTGCTACTCACAGGAGCTGAGCCCCCAGCCTGGCACAGGACAAGCAGCAGCACTGCAAGCCCTCCCCACGCACCTTGTCCCATTCTGCACCTCTGCCTCCTAATGTAGAAAGATCCTCACTTGGGTTTGTATTCTCACACACATTAAGTGCAGCCTGGGCCTTTATTTAAGGAAATAAAGCTTACAAGTGGCTGTGACAGTGAGGGATTCCACACAGTTCTGAGTTTGCACCATGCCCCTATTCACCACCCTGCTCCTTCTGCAGGGCAACAGACACTCCAAACAAACTTCCTGCTTCCTTCAAGCCACGCTGTGGTCACTGCAGCCCACAAAACACACTTTCAATAAAATCATCCCTCTCCTTTTTTGCCATGCTTGGAGTTTACAGACACCACACTCTTAAGAAATTGTGGAAAAAAAATATCCCAGACATTATCATACCACAGGCTGTAGAAGGTATGAGTAGGGACCTGGCTTTTCAGATGCTGATGATCCCAAAGTTCTATTATATGAGTAGACAATTTTCATGAGCTTTTCAGTATCCCTCACTTTGCTCCAAGAATGATTAGGTAAGCAACAGACCTTTAAAATTGGAACATACCTGTAAGATACTTAAAATCCAGACTTTATCTGTCCCAATTGGCTTATCCTGGATATCATATCCTAGGGGCTGACCCTGAGGCACACCAAGTGAACTTTAAACTATGAATTTCCCAGTCTTTCTTAGGTCAGTGGGGAAAAAAAGGAAAAAAAAATCAAACCATGCTTGTTTCTCACATCGTTCTCGCATCCTTCTAGCCGGGTCAAATTGAGCCAATTCTTTCTCCACATAGTACAGCACCTTCATGGAGTCCCTGTCCTTGTCAGCCTGGATCCTGTACCCTTTGCGCACTGCTAGGGAGAAAAAAGAAAACATTAGAGGAAAACCCATGTAAGAACAAGGAGCCTTTCCCACAACACTGCTTCTGTAGTTGAGCTCACGTCTCAGCAGGTAGGCTGCGTCAAAACACACTGAGTCAGTCGCTGCTCCACAAGAAATTCGTCTACAGTGTGGGATGTGAAGTTGTAAGAACTTGCATCATTTTGAAAGTTTGCAGGAAGAGTAAAAGAGGTTTGGAAATGCCCAGTTTGTACAACCATCCAGTGATGGACACTGAGCATGGTGGGCCATCTTCACAGCACCCCACCCCCGTTGTGTGAGACAGGCTCACTCTGGTTTTGGCCCGCTTTTGCCCAGCTAAAACAAAAGCAACGCCCTCACAGCTGCAGAGTGATTCCAACTCCCACAGATGATGGCAGAGAGAAAAGAAGAACTCATTTCTCCTTCCTCAGCACTACTGAAAGGATTCCTCATGGTATGGGAGAAGCAGCCCCAGAAGATCAGGGTTCCTCTAAGCTCTCAATCTGCAGAAGAAGCAAGCACCTGAGCATTTGGGAGCTGTCACTGTGCAAGACCACTCCACCCTCCCACCCCCATGAATTCTCCTCACACAGGTTGAAGAGTGTGTGGCTAAAGCTCCAGAGAATACAGAAGGAAACACAAAGTCCTACAAAGCACATCACACTGCTTTGAGATTTATACTGACTCCAGGGATGAGGCCAATCAGGTCTGCTCTGGAATTCTTTACAAGCTTTACTTTACAGAAAAGGTGTGAAATGCTTGACTTCTGGGAAGTCTGGACAGCTTTTTGACTTGTCCATGGGCCTATCTGTAAAAAAGAAGGCCCTATACACCTGGAGCCAAAGCAGATTTAACTCTGGCAGGTTAGCACCATACACACTTTACCTACTAACAATAGCTACAAACAGCCTGCCTACCTTAAGGCAGGTCTATGGTCAGCAAGCAGAGAACTCACCTTTCCACTCTTTCTTTGAAGAAAATAAGGTTTTTATAGCAGATTATTTAAGAAAGGTCTCAGCCTGGAGCTATTACAGGATTGATAGAAATTCAGGTCTAGGTACAAGAGAGGACTACAACCCTCAAAAATTCAGCCTTATTAGAGAACCATCACAAGGAAAATTCACTTAGCCCTACAAAATGGAACCTGCCTGCCTCAAATGGGGTTAACATGTTCCCTTGCGGGAATACTGCAGTGTTGCATGAATGCTCCTGCTGGGGAGCAATTTAAACACTTGGACAGTGGTTCTGAGCCAACCTGTTCCTTCTGTTTTATCCCTCACCACCGCAACACATCGAGCTATTAACATATGGGTTCGGTAGTACGTCGCATAGTATGTGCTGTGTGGGCTGAGCAAGGACTTGGCAGAGGTATTCTTAGGCACCTCCTGCCCTAAACTGCTGAAGAGTGTGTCTGTGCACTAGGAAATAACCATGCTCTTCCTCAGGAATGGCTGTGCCATGGAAATGGGTAGAGTGATTGATTCCTCCCATAACCCCACAGATTGCTTCAGCGTTCCACTGTGGGTTTGGACTGAGCACGTGTAAGGTAAGTGATTGAGATATTGCCTTGTGTGTCTGCACTTGGGAATGGCATAGGATGTAAAAATATAGTAGGGGTCTATCAGGGTCCTTCTTTTAACATGCCTCCAGACAGCACGGCTGACAGCAGTGTGTGCTTTATTAATCCCGTGAGTGAGTGCACAGCGGCTGGAAATGCAGACACTGGTTTACAGAACACAGGGAATCCTGCCCCTGCCCCCCAAACAGGAAGAACAGCAGGTGTCCTCAAATGAGGCTGGACTGACTGGCCTCCAAAGTGACAGCCCTGGCTGCACTGCATGAGCAGCAAGGGCAGTTCTCCACCCCCACATCGTGGCTGGTACCTCACTTCTGCCTGGTACCGTGCCAGGAAAGAGGCCTCTCACTATTCCTTCTTCTAATGTGTGGACTGGAGCTCAGCTAAGCTGCCACCTCATTTATACACAGGCCAGCAAACCACTCTGACCTACTCATAACCCTTGGGGAACTTGAACAGGCAGCTTCCAGACTCTTCCCAGAGCCACTGCTCACATTGAGGCTGTGCCAAATATCTATTTGGGCAACCTCTATAGCTCCTGGAGCTGATAGAGAATTAGCTAAGCTTCATGCTAGCTTCATACTAAACTTGCTACTGCAACTCCCTATCAAAAGGCAAATGAATTTCTTGGTTAATTCTGCAAGCACCTAGAAATCAACTTTGGATTTAAATCTGCAAAGATGACTGCGAGCAGCTCATAAAAAGTATTTTGCACTACAGAGAAAGTAGTTTTGTCTCTGTTTGTTTATTAAATATTTCTCATAATGATACTAAATATTCAACTTATTAAATCTCTTCATTATTCCCTCAGCTGAGAAATAGAGATATTATTGCTTCTTCCTCACACTCTTCATCTGTAAGTTGCTATAATCCTTTAATCAGGTCTGAATCATTTTAAGACCATTTTAATTATAAAGAAAAAAAGATGCAGAGATGTTGACCACATGTCCAGAACCACTTGCTGAAATCAAAGGGAATGGAACATTCTTCCCATATTTTCTTCTTTTGAACAGTTCATAAATTTCTAATGTTTAGTTTGTATTTAACTAGACAGTATTTTTATTCTTCTGTGGGTGGAACCAACTCAGCCAAAACTGCAAGCTGTCTTCCTGCCCAGAAAGGACACCACTACTATTTTTTTTCAGACAAGTATGTTTAGGAAGTAAATGATGTCTCATGCTTATACCCTTCTCATGTTAAAGATCTAGGACCAAAAGCTTCCCTGTTTGCAGAGTTTAAAGGATCAGTGCAAGAGCCTCTAGGTAACCACTGCATTTAAAATAGAGCATAAATCCTAACTTATGTGTTGTCAACACTCTTCTAAATAAGAGAGCTAAATGTTTTGGGGTTTTTTTCTCCATTCCTATTATATATTCCATATCCTAAGTTTAGGATAGAGTTCCTAGGCTCATTCTGAGCTTTGCCACATGGCTTTTATATAACCCCAGACAAATTTTCTAAATATCCTCAGGCCCAAGTTTGCTCACTCAATCCCCTCACAGGGGTCATTTATAAGCACAGAATCTATCTAGGGAAAAGGATGTCGTTTTTAGCCAGAATTACAGAATCCTCCAGCACTTTGGATCCCATTTTTTTTAAATGGACTTGACAGAAAGGTTGAAGTCCTAAAGATACATAGTTTCAGATCAGACCTACACCAGCTGTGTGGAGGACACAAAGCCTTTTTATTCTCTTTCTGAGAAAAGCTTTCATTATAAACTCAACCATCACCTGTTTTGTTTAGCTTGCTGCCTGGCCAACAAGCAAATAAGTAGCTTGGAAAAGCCACACAATGTTTTCTCTTCTACAGCCTGTCATTAGGGGATATTATAGCATTGTGTAGGACCTTATGTGTAAAAGAACAGAGTACAGGCTGTAACTCTCCCTTAGCCCCACAGCACCTTGAACAACAGGTCCATGATCTAGACTAAGGGTTTGTCCATATTATTGCAAAAAAGATTACCAGATTTTTAAAAAAGCTTAAGAATCTCTGTTGTCTTGCAACAAAGGTTAAAGCTCTGTGATAATGTTTTTATTTGCCATATATACTATTTCCTGTCAAGTCCTGAAGTGAGGGATTGAGTCCAGACACTTTATTTGGAGGCATTATATATTAAATGCATCCTTCTGTATAAGGATCATGGCATCCTAAGAGCCATTCCATTTGGCTACCAAATATATACTCTGTTTTTTATTCTGAACTTGTGCTCTGCTAGTAGAGACAAGACTGGGAGCTGTGATCTATCTGACTCTTAAAAAATCCCTGGAGTTCCCACAATCAGCACCACACTCTATGTGCAGTGACATTTTTCACAGGAGAAAGAAATTGAAGCACTGGGGTGTCATTCATCATTTTCTGACAAAGGTTTTTGAATTGGATATGTTCTGTATTGGATCAGTGATTGATTTATTTCCTGTTTCAAAATGCTCCATTCCAGAGCTCTGTTTTGATTTCAGTGGCCAAAAAAAAAGGTGTGATTGTTGAAAGAAAATATGTTTTGTAATTCCAGAAAGGTTAATTTCAGAAAGGTTAATATACTGACTGGGACAGCAGAAGCATCTGTAGTGTTGTTCCAGAAGCTTAATTAATTATGCTATTTAATCTTGTCTTTTCAGATGTGTTTTATCAACACTCTGTCGTGAGTTAATTTAACAATTGATACTTAGTGTGGTGCTTTGAAATCAGACTGTAGCTGGGTCAGTGATGACTCTACATTGGTGAGAGTTATTTCTGCTGCAGAATGTTTGAATTTAGACAGCCACTCTGATTCTGGAATGCATGTGGCTAAATTGCTGCCCTCTTTTCTCCTTGATGGCAGCTTCCTTTGCAGCAGCAGAAGCAACCCTCCCTGAGACAAGAGGCATCACACTGACACTCTAGGTCTGACACAGATCCACAACTCCTTTCTAGTCACGAAGCCTTTCATCACCCACGTTTCACAAATGCAAAGGCTGAACAATAAAAGTGGCCTACTGACTTCTGTAAAGTAGAGGACAGGGTCCAGCCCCAAAAGATCTTGGGCAGAAATATCAAGGGAACAGGTTACTTTGCCCAAAATGCCATGGGGACAGTAAAACATGCTGCAGCAAAACCTGCTGCCAGAGGCCAAGCAGTGACCTGCAGAGGGTTGGAAGGACAGTTTACAAAGAGAAAGCAGCTTGCAGCAAGGCATCAGTTCTAAGGGGAAAATGGCTCCTGCCTCTGCTCTCCTGAAATCATCTTTGTCCTTTTGTCCTCTGCAAGCCAAATGTCTGCAGCAGTAATGACAGGGGTCCTGTGCAGGGACTCAGCCTCCCATACCCTCCTGACCTAATTAGATACCCACAAACTGACTGTGTTGATGGCCCTAGAAAAGTTAGACCATGTGGCCCTAATGCAAATGTCACTGTCAGACAAAGGATTAAAATTTCCCTGTGTTCCTTCTCCTCACACCACTCAATCAGTGACAATCATTCCTGCCCTTCCCAGCCCCACTCCCAGTAAGAGGACTGAAAGTTGTGCCTGGCACTGCAAATTACCATTTTGGCTCCCTCCGCTGGCCTCACTTGGGGCTAAGGGAGGAGGGTGTGACTTATCCATCAGCACAGCAGGAGATGGGACACCAGCTACAGGAACACTGGGGATGTAGTATGGACCTGGCATGGCAGAGACTGCAGGGGGGTACCCAGCTTTTGCTGCTTTGCCTGCTACATACACTGAAAAAGAAAAAAAAAAACAAGAGTCAGCATCACACACCAGCACCCCACAGATCCACTGGACATGTGGATGAAACCTGCACCAACATTGGTGGCGACCCCACAGGAGACAACCAGACAAATGAATTAACAAGGACCTGCCTGAATTTCTCTAAGCCTCGAAGGGTACTGAAGGGAGTTTAAAATATGTACTGCATATAATAATAATGGCACTGCGAGATGCCCAGAAAGACACTCAGGGTACGACAGCCAACATGATTTAGTGGCAGTTCAGCTTTAAAAATAACTGATGACTCAAGCAGCAGAATGAGGCTCATGGAACTTGACAGATCTGACTGAGCCTGACCAGGAACCTTGCTGGGTTGCAAGGATTTTGCCCTCTCTGTTGTAGAGGACATCTGATTTGCATTGCCAGGAAGAAACCTCCCAGGATGCTCTTAGCTCTGACCCTCAACATTCACTGACACAACAACAACTTTGGAATGGGAGCATGACACTTTGGAAAAGCAGACACAGCTGCCAAGGCAGGGAGGGCTTGGGGAATTACATTTGTAATTAACTTTGAGCATTCAACCATTGAGTAATAGGTCAGATGCTTCACTCCCTAAGAACCAGTCCTTTAGCCAAGCAAAGTGCTCAGGGCAAAAGAAGCAATATTAGCAGATTCTCCCCCTGTTCTGCCAGGGAGCAGAAGTAGCAGGGCAGAAGATGTGCACCAGGCTTGGACAGGGTCACTCACGCGCCCGGGGACAGCAGCAGGACTCAGGACAGCAGGGGCAGCGGACGTAACAGCAGCAGCTGTGCGGGCAGCACTGGCACCAGCAGATTCCCACCAGGAGGAAGAACAGGAACGCTCCCAGGATCACCAGGCCCACAAAGACCCACTCTGGAAAACAAGGGGAGAAAGGGAGATGTTTACAGGACTGCACATTGCTGTGGAAGAGAACGTCAGCAACATCCTCCCAGTGGAGAGCATGGGGACAAAACACACAGGTGAATAACAGAAGTGGACCGACTCCCTGTGGCTCTAGGACTAGGACTACTCCTCCTCTTGTGTCAAAGCAGAAATGGCAGGTGACAGTGAGAAATGAGCTACAGAAATGTGGTCCCTTCTGGCAGCATCTCTGGCTGGCTGAGAGGCGAGCAGCAGAGACAGGAGCCCCGGTTCCCCGGCCAGAAACCCTTCGTCCCACAGCAGACCCGCGCCAATGCCGCGGGACGCGCTCCATTAGCACTTGGCCCTCATCAAAGACTCATTCTTCTTGGCCATGTTCATGCCCTGCTTATGTGTTTGTTCCCTACCAACATTCCGGTTTTAATGGGACAAACGATGGTGAAAAGCAGGCTATAAATAGCCCAGTAAACGAGCCAGGCCTGCCCCTTCACAGCGAGGCCTACGCACGCAATTATCCTTTTGAATGTTTCGAACGAACATCCTATTCAGGCGCCACAGCCAGCCAGCAAACCTAACAACCACCTTTTTTCTCCCCCACCGAAGCCTCAGATGATGTGTCCCAAAAGGGAGCAGCTGAAAAGCAACCTACAAACGAAAGCACGAAAGAGCTGGCCCACAAAAACCAGGGTGGGGCTTAAAGGGGAAAAGGTTTCTCAAACTTTGCTGCTGGAAAATCTGGTTGGAGCAGGGCTCAGCCTGTGCCAGAGCAGCACCTACTGCCCCATAGGAATTCCAGACTAAGGGAATGATCAGTGAACACATCTGGACCAAGAAATCACAAGACCCTGAACATACAGGAGGCCTGGAGCTGGTTTTATGTCAGAGAAATGCACCAACCTATCTCAAAGCAAGACTGCTGGTGGGGAAAAGGCTCCAGGTGTACCCTGGTGGTTATTCAATCCCCTTGGAAAAATCGCAAAAAGCAAATAAAGTGGGGCTGCTTTGCAGTGGGAAAGGGTTTATCCCCACTTCAGAGATCAAAAAAGCAGCATACCACTATTTCCAAACAGAAGTCCAGCGTCCACTAAAGAGTCTCCTGGTAGAGAATTATTTGAGATGAAGAAGTATCGATATGAGGATTGCAATGTGCATGAAGAATCACACAGGGAAAACAGTGCACCCCTCACCTGTGTTGCTAAGCTAAAAAGTCAAGGAAAAATGTTTCACTTGGACCATTCAAAATAGAATTTTTTCCTAGTTCTTAATGCAGCACAGAAATAAGAAGTGTCATTTTTGATCCATCGGAAGCGTTCTGTTTGAACAAAAGTATGATTCTTTACTTTGTTGGAGTCTTCCTTAACTCTTCTACAAACAATTCCCCTTTTTAAAAATGCCATTTTAAATCTAGAATTTAAAATTTCCTTTGAAAAATGTCAGTCAAAGATCTGGCATCTACAAATCAAAACACTTCAGAAGTGTGAAGTGAAATATTTTAATTTTTTTTAATTCTTTGTTTCTTTTTTGGCTGACACAGATGAATTTCATTTATATTTGCATTTAATTTTGGTCCCTATTGAATATTTTTTTGGGGTTGAACTTACTATATGCTGAGAAAAAATGAGCTAACAAGTAAGGAAAGGGCAGAAGGGAAGCATTCATGAATAGGAAAGCACGAGCTGAGAGATTACTGACACAGTCCCTCAAGTTCTGCTTCTAGCAGCTGTTTTGCTTAATATTTTCATAAATTACTTTGACACGGAAAATAAGAATGTGTTAAAATATCATGACAGTAAGCAGTAGGGATGCATTGTCAATAAAGGCTGGGACATGTACAAAGGGTCTACTTGGGTCTACAATAGGAGATGTGAAATGCAGTATTATCCTGAATTTCAAAGTATGCAGCAACATTGTTGCATACCTGTCACACCAGTATCACAAGTTCAAAGATCAAGAACAATTTATTTTCTGAACAGGACTTCACTGGTTGAAAAGAACTGAAAAACAAGAGAAATGATACAGTACACATAGGATTACTCAGGCAATACAGCCACCAAAAATGGCAAATGTAACCCTAAATATTTGTAATCGGGGAATGTAATAATGTAATAAGGGAAGAATTTCCAGTAGTATTAAGGAAATATCAATGCCATCACACAAGGCCTCCTCTCCACTTGACTTCATCTGAAGTTACTGATGTTATACAGCTCTGGCCATCTTTGCAGCAGAAAAGATGAATTTAGGTCGATGGAAAGCAGGGATTTGAGGGATGAAGAGACTCTGGAGCCTGCTTGGCAGCAGGGGAGCTGAAGCCTGCTGAGTTACTCTATTAAACAGAAGGCTGAGGGAAGATGTAGCTCCTGCCTGTAAATATAGTAGGAGGATAAATGCAGGAGGAAAAGCAGGTATTATAGTTAAAAGATCTTACATAAATGGACAGAAATAGATGATCGGTGATGTAGAGAGAAGCTAAAAGAAGCCCATTAAAGAAAGTGATCCAATGGGAAAGAGAAAGGCCAAACCTTAGGCCACTCCTAAGCTTGCCAAGCTTACAGAATGGATGAAATTACATGGTGCTGGGGATGGAATGCAAGATAGGGAGCCAGACTATCCTCTCCAGTCCTGTATTTCCTAATCTATGCCAATCTAAGCAACAGCTTAGTGGCTTTTTCTTTGTTGTGTTCTCATCTTGTTTTCTACAACCATCATGGACACAGAAAAGGAGGTGAAACAGTACTGCTTGATACAAGTGGCCAGCCACAGCTATCCAGTGAAACTCAGATGTCAGATGTCCAGAGCCATCAGTGAACAGTTCACAACCACTCCATAAAGGATAAAAGCCCGGTGGAGGAAAAAACAGACAGCAAGTCCATTAGAAGTGTGTCTGTGGTCTCTCTGAACACATTCTAGCAGTACAAAAGGGGGTCAGGTTAGTGTGTACATTGCACATTGCAGGATACTCACTCAGCATATAAAGTGGATGTTTGAAATCAGTGTCCCAGCCACAGGGACCTGTGAGTCAGGATTTTACTGCACAGGAAGTTAGACCATTTCCTTTTCTGATGAGGTCAAGAAAACAGCAAAAAAAGGCTGCTGGCTCTTCCTTTATGCACAGAACTGGGATTCAACCAGCTCCCCCTGTGTAATGCTGAGATTCAAATGACTACCAAGCTGACAAGCTCAGTGTCCTTGCTGTCTGGAAACTACTGGTTTGTGCTTGCAGAAGTATCTGCTTTTTTTTACTCGGGTAACATCAAACAGCAACTGCTGAAATGTGGTTTGCTGCTGCATCTTACACTTTCTTCTTGTCTACCCATGCAGCAAGGGTACCAGAAAGATATCTGGCCAACACACCATAATTTTATACCCATTCAATAAAATTCTAAATAACAGAGGGAAAAGTGTTAGGCAATAGAGAATCAACTGTTATCTATGCTGAAAAGACCAATCCCTCTCCTGCCATGCAGGAATTCTAGGGAGCTTTGGGTTACATTGGAGGTGGGTGAGTGTCTGCCTTCTCTCCGTTTGCATCTCTGGGACAGGCTCGAAAATAGCTTCACACATTTATGTGGAATTGCATTTTTGCACAGAGGTGTGAAATAAATGCTCCTTGGGCACCACCGGGGAATGATCAGATGACTTGAGGGCTAAATATTCTCACAGCTTTTCCCTTTCAAGAACAATCTGTTGCACAGCCTCTGTCTCCTCTGCAAGGAGTGCCAGAACTGGTGGCTCTCACTAGTTTTGGCTAGCAAGGGATTTGTCACGGAGCTCTCGCGTCGGGGCCAGCCACCCGGTGTGGCCGAGAGCACGGCCTGGCCATGCAGCACAAGAGGGGCTGGGCCACTGATGGGTTGCTAGCCAATGCTCTGTTCCCAGCACCTCCTGTGCTACCATCTGTGGGGATGGTGGAGAAGTGGCACAGGCCAGGTCTGGGGAGCTGAGTGACTGCACAGGAGCAGCTGACCCCACAGAGGGCTGTGGGGTCTCACAGGCTGCAGAACAGATTCCTCTGTGCTAGCAGGGAGAGAGCAGAGAGCTTGATAGAAAACCTCCCCAGAACAGCTCTGGCATTTCTGCTCTCACACTGATCCTGGCATGGCATCAACCATCTCTGCATGCTGGCTCCCAGCACGGCCCGGCATCAGCTCGCTCAGATCCGAACCCAGCGCTTCCCCAGTAAGTGACAGACTCTTCTCTTTAAATCCCCAGATGAAACACACACACAAGTGAAACATACACCACATAAAGATGCTGCAGAAGGATAAACAGACAAGATGACAGAGGAATAAATGATTAAGGGTGAAATGACTGAATACCTGGCATAATCTCCACAGCAAAACTGGGCAAGAGATCAGCAAGCAGCCCTGTCCTGCCTAGAAAAGACAGAAGGAGGAGAAGAAGGAGAGAGGTTACTGCAAGAAAAACACACTCCCCAGCCCCTGCCTTAGCCTCCAGTTCCCTTCCTCATCGGCCCACTTGCACTCTGCGTTATGTGAATTTCTATCAACCACAGATGTCATCCTGCTCGGTGCCTGGTGTCTGCCTCTGCACTTCTGCCATTTCTGTGTCCTTGCATTTTATCTTTATCAGCAGAGCTGGGGGGAAAGAATCTGGAACAGAGCATCTCCAATCTAGACACAAAATGACAAGAAAAAGGAGTCCCTTTAGCATGGTTACATGGTAACATCTTCCTGGAGTTATGCTCTACACATGCAAAAGCTCCTGGAAATGCACAACAGCCCTTAAACAGAAGGACACGGTTTATTTTAAAAAGTACTGATGTAGTCTCTACAGAGATGAAACATCTTTTACCCAAGGCTATTGATAAATCAGCCACATGCTTCCAAAACCCATGGATGCTGCTGTCCACGTGGGGCTCAGTGAGTGCACTGACAGCTCCAGGAAAGGAGCCTTGAAGGAATGTTGTGCAGATGTGCTAATTATTTGGAGATGCACGAGCATCTTGGTAAGACTGCGTGACAAAGGCCAACTCCCAGTGGAAGCAAACCAACGAGGGAAAGATTTGTGTAGAAATTTGTGGTATCACTTTGTGAAGGAAAAAGGAAACAAACCAAAAAAAAAAGGCAAGTCAACTTCAAATTTATAATTCACAACCGAATACAAACAAACTCCAAGCCCAAAGGCAGCTCGGTGTCAGTTTGTTTTGGCACAGAATGTCTGGGATATTTCCAGTACACAGCAAACACCCTGCACAGTGCTCAGCTGTAATTTACACACACCTGTGCATTGGCAGAACAGCCCTAAGTGCAGCTGTGCTGTGAACTCTCCCATAGAGCCCCAGGATCATGCTGGGATTTTTAAAGACATGCATATGGTAGGAGAGCTGCAATCTGAAGAGAGACACACATTGTGGGCATAACAACGGGAGCAGCTAAGGGTAAGCCAATGCAAAAGTGGTAGAAAGCTACCTTTAACCTCCCCACATGCCCTCCAGGTCCTGCACTACGCAGCACTCAGACACAGTGATGAACTGGATCCCAAGTTCCTCGGCCTCTAGTCTGTCCTTGCAGGTTATTACAATCAAATTCCCACCATCCGTTTTCTCTCAGTGCTTCAGCAGAGACTCTGTAGAGATCAAAAATCCACAAGGAAGCCTGCTGGAGCCATAATGAGTATACCATGGCTTCAGGCAGTGCTTTGCAGCCAGTTGCAACTCATCAAAGCTGACTGGTACTCACAGGAACGCCCATCCTGATGAAGTGGTGCCGATTCCTTAGCAAAGGATAGCAGGGTGATGCTTCACATAACTGCTCCCCATTTACCACTTTGAGGGAGGACTCCTGCCACCAGTCTGCTGCAACATTTTTATCTACATTTACAAAGAGTTTCATGACATTCTTTGCAGTCCAGTTCCTGGAAGGATCAAATATCCAAGCCTCTCACAACTAGCATGTCATGTTCCACGTGCACATTAAGTATATTCCTTATTCTGATAAAACAATACACAATTCTTTTGCAGGCCTCTGTGTGCGTATGTGAACAGCACCCACATGAACCACATGCATGCAGAATATGGGCAGACGTGAGCATGTAGCTCACCTCCCTTGTGTTATTACCTCTGCACAAGCTCACATGCAGCCTGTTTGAGAGCAGATGACACTGGGCAGATTGCTGGAGGTTCATAGTTAACTTAGGGCTTTTACTCGTGGTTAAAAATGCAAGGAAATTACACCTTTAAACAGCAGAAACTCCTTCTCAAATGGGCACTGACAAATGGGTGCCTCTTTATTTAAAACCTACCTGGAGAGGCTCGAGCCCTGCTAGCGGTGGGTACTCTCTGATCTCCAAGAGGAATCACATGTCCAGCAGGGAAAAACATCCCTCAGTATAACAGTGCCTGAGAACTTGGTGAAAACAAAGAGAACCAAAGCAGCTCCTCTGTGCTACCCCCAAGCAGCCAGTACTTCCCTGCTTGTGCAGCCTCACTTGGCTTGTCAGAGTGTCTGCCTGGGGAATTTGCATCCCTGCCCTGCCAACGGGACTCACACAGCCCTGGGGGCCCCAGAGCCCCCAGCAGGGATGCACAAAGCCTGGGAGGACCCAAGGCAACAACAAACCCCACCACAGCTCAGCCAGAACTCTGCCTGCCTGGCCCAGCCCAGCTGACAGCACAATGCCCACCCCTGGACTGCTGCAGCTTTCCACAGCTCGGCCCCCACCCCGGGCTGAATTAATCCCCTGATAACCTTTCCCCAAACCATTCCTTCAGGGAAGCCAACAGGCTGAGGCTGCCCGCGGTTGCCCCAGCAACGGGAGGCTCCCACCACTGTCCCTCATTGAAGGCAACTTTCCTCCCTCTGCTGCTGCTGCTGCCAGCAACAAGTGCAGCAAAACCCCTGGGAACAGGGACAGGGTGGCTCAGGGCAGGGCAGGGATGCCACTGGCTCTCACCTCCTGCCCTCTGCAAGCCTGGCCCACACGTGGGCACAGCCCAGAGACAGCTGGTGGCCACAGAGGGGATCCCAGGGCAGCACCCTGGTGGGTCACACACTGCCCCAAACACAGGGCAGGGTGTCCTTTTGGATCCATGGCTGTAACAGCAGGCAGGAGGCAGGCAGAGCACCCATGGCCAGCACCCACCCATCTCTCCTTGCCTTGGATGCTCCTTCCCTGGGCTCTAAGCTCACCTCCTTCTCTCTCGTTTTTTTGGGGTTTTTTTCAAGGAAATTTTAAAGTGGATGCTGGGGCTAGATAGCAGTTGGTGGGGAAGAAACAATTCAGTAAAACATCCTGCCAAGAGACCATCTGGCCACACCACCTCTGCACAGCAGCTCTGCCCTCCTGAGGAAGGGCTGCAGGAACTCCAAGCCATGCCTGGGCACCACTGCTGAGTCACAGATCTGTGTCCCCACCCACAAGAGCTTTGTGTCCTCTGTGCAGCTCCCACCACCGAAGGGATAGAGGGAATAGACAATGGCCCTGTTTTCCAGGGTTATCCCAGGTGACTAGGTCAGAGCTAGGAGCTTGTCCTCATTCTGCAAGGATCTGGGACATGTGCCATCTCTATTCCTACCACGCTGAAGGGTTTTACCTGCCCATAGTGGCCTCTCAGCAGGCACCTCACACGCCCCAGGCCCCAGCCAGCCTTGAAATGCAACGGAGCTCACAAGCCCCCCAACTGCACTGGCAGAGCACAGGAGGAGGAATGGGAGAGGAAAAGCTGAGGGGATGCAGAGCAGCTCCAAGAGGTGCAGACACACAGCAGAGGCGAGCGAGGACAGGAGTTAATACACAGGAGGCAGGCAGGCGACAGAGCAGTGAGCAAATAGCAGCGGAGCAGGGGAGACCTGGAGTCAAGCACACAATTAGCAGAGAGTCTGCAGAGAAGAGACACAAAAATAATTAGGGTAAGTGCTGCAGCTGAAAAGAAATGATGGCATGAATAAAGTAGGCGCAGGTGCAGTCAGAAACGTGGCAATTGGGTAAATATGGGAACATGGTGAATACTGGCAACCGCATAAATGTGATAAATATTGGGTAACTATGCTAGTAACTGCTGAACTGTTCGCCTGTTTGAAGGCTGCTTCTGCAGCCCAGCCTGCTGCAGTGGGATCACAGCACACAGCAAGTACAGAGGGAATTATTTCCTTCTCAGTGGTGGAAAACTTTGCCAAGCCATGCCACAGCAAGAGGCCCCTGGCAAGGGACACTGTCCTGAGGAGAGCCTGGAAAGCACAGGAAAGGAAGTATAGCCCTTGTAAATCAGACACTTTTCCAAGGCAGCTGCTGTGAGATTTATTGGGGGAGCATGGCTCTGCAATGAGTTCCTCTGTGCTCCCTCTGCTTGGAGTAAACTTTATCCTTTCTTCCCATCCTTCTCTTCAATTGGACGGAGAAACAGCAGCAGCCCCTTTTGGAGATCAAAGTTTTAGCAGGCAACAAAGACCTCCAAGGAGGCTGTTGCCATGGCTGCCTTAGTAACCACGGCCTTTTAATCACACCAAGTCTCCTTTGTGAGCAGCGTGTGGCTGTCGCTGGCAAATAAGGAGGAAAACAGGGGTAAAAAGCCTTGGCAACAAGTAGCACTTCTAATCGGTGTGAAATAAATAACCAGGAGTAGGCTGGGATAGGACTGGAAGCAGGTTACAAAGGCACAGTGGTCTGGGGCAGTGCATCAACACTTTCCTGGGATTTTGAAGAGGAAGGCTCCTGTGCCAATCACTTCCTTCCCCTGCTGGCACTACCCACCTTTGGTCACAGCTGAAGGTCAGCGAGCCCTCCTCCGTGGGGCTGCTCACAGACATTTTCCCAGCTGAGATGTGGGCCAGCACATCCCCAGCACAAGGCCACCAGCACCACTCTGCCAACTCCTGTGACCGAGCACTGGCTCAGATGCTACTGGCAGCTTTTCAGCAAACGAGAGCAAAATCCTAAAACCAACATCATGTAAGGGAAAATTTTGCCAAGAACTTTTCAATCTCCAAAATCATGTCAAATTTTATTATACAGTCTCTCCTGGCATAAAAGAGACTCCAAACCTGGCTATATTTATACCAGCTATTGAGTCACTTTGCTGAGTAAGAACTGCCTTATTAGCATTGCACACCATACACACGTGTCCCAGTGGAGATTTATCCTCACTGAAAGTCAACACATGTCTCTATTAGCATATTAATTACTGTACAATATGCTGTGTGTATATGTATCTACTTGCTCTACTTTATATCCTTTACTACTTTTACTATGGGCGTGAGACTTTTTAAATTTTGGGTTTAGTCTACATGTATTCTGACTGGTAATATAAACTGCAGAAGATGTCTGTTTACCAGTGTTAGTTGCCAGCTGTCTGTAGAAATTAACACAAACCTCAAGTGCTAATTGTTGTTATTTAAAGCATAATAATGGGAGATGCTTCAGCCTGGAAAAGATTTATCTGGGGAATTTCAGGCCTGTCAAATTGACCTTGGTGCCCAGGAAGGTTATGGAATAGATGATCTAGAGTGTGACCACAGCACATACAGGACAACCAGAGGATCAGAAGGATCCAGCATGGGTTTAGGAAAGGCAAGTACTCCTTGATCAGGAGAAGTTTTGTCACTGAGAGGGTGGTTAAGCACTGGAATGGGCTGCCCAAGGAGATAGTGGAGCCATCATCCCTGGAAGCGTTCAAGAAACAACTGGACGTGGCACTTAGTGTTAGGGTTTAGTTGAGATGGTGGTCTTCAATCAAAGGTTGAACTCAGTGATCTTGGAGGTCTCTCCTCCAGCCTTAATGATTCTATGATTCTGTGATTAACTATAAAATAATATTTCACTGATACATGGTTTCTGTAATATTAGCTGCTGAACTGGATGGAAAAGGAAAGCAGGCAATAGCTGTCTAGCAAAGCACATGGATCACTAACCAAAGCGTCAAACCAACAACTGGGATTAGTGGAGTACTTTCTGGCCTTTTCCAGACACTTGACAGGTCCTGGCAAATGGAGCCACTGTTTTGTGAAGCACATCTCAGCTATGTAAATTCTCAGATTGCAGACATCACCAAGCTTGCACAAACCTATGTGTTCCAGGGTGCCCAGCTGTGCTGAGCTGTATATACAGGCACTACTCTGTAGCTTTTACAGCTTGGGAAGGGAGCAGTGTAGCAGCTTCCATAGGTCCCTGCACCTGGTTAGTAAAATCTGGCCCTTGGGAAGGCTCATTGGGTGCTGTGAAATGCCATGCAATGAAGCTGGACTGGCTCCTGATGTGAGCTGGTGACACGAAGCTAGAATGACACTGACACCACACTGTACTTCTGGTTTGAAGGTTACTCCAGGCACACTGCATCCCTGCACTGGTACACGTGCAGTTCCCTTCAGAAAGGCTGCAATAAATTACTTTACTGAAGCCCATTGACATTCTCATATGAAAAAGCAATACACAGGGGCTACAAATAACAATATGATTAATAGCACTGTCTGTGTTTCTAGAAGCAGGACATTAGCTGCCAGCTACTACAACAGAAACGTAGACCTGCTTCAAATTAGGATTCAGCCTTTTAGATTCAATCACATTAAAAAGTTTAAAAAATAAAATGCATAAAGTTGCAAATGGATCCATTAGCCCAGCTGTAATGTCAGCAAAGGTTCTCCTTTTCTAATAAAAACACACAAGTGCAGGGAGTATCACTTGATTCCTTCTGGGGAATTGCTAAGCTCTGGACTAGTCTGCAGCAGAAGCAGAGTTCATACAGTTTCCAGCACACTACACATCCTGTTTGGAGATTCCAAATGCCATCAAAATGCACATAGATCACAGAATTGTTTAGGTCGGAAAAGATCTCTGAGATCATTGAGTAACCTGTGACCAAACACTACCAGACCATGGAACTGAGTACCACATCCAGTCTTTTTTAAACACTACAGTGTTTCAACACCTCCCTGGGCAGCCCATTCCCATGTTTAACCAACACTTCTGGGAAGAAATTCCTTTTGATGTTCGACCTGAGCCCCTCCCCGGCACGCCTTGAGGACGAGCCCCCACCTTGCTACAACCTCCTTTCAGACAGTTGTAGACAGTAATAAGGACTAAAGAATATGTAATAGTATTTTTTAAATTTCAATTCTCTCCTTACTCTACAGGAGGTTCCCTACCAGTCTGTGTTCCAGAGGCTGCTATCCCTCTTCCCTCACCTGCACTGATTCCCTTAGAGAGGGTCCCTGACTAAGCAGAAGATACAGAATGGTCTTTTCAGCAAAGCACATAATAAGCACATGCTTAACATCAGGTATGCTTTACAAATCCTATCAGCTTTGCTGAGCAGAAATGGATATAAATAAATGCTTGTGTGCTTTTCTGAAACAAGCGTGACGTGAGGACAGCACATGGGACTCTCTGCTGTTACCCAGAGCTGAGCAGCAGCTCTGTGTGTCAACATGACACAGCCAGGTAACAAAACCCAACATGCAATCCCACCGTGGCACAGGCTCCCTGGCTACTTAAGAGGTGACTACAGGTCTCTGTGATCGCTTTCCTAAGAAAGAAAAAGAAATACTGTAATTTGCCCAGGTTTTGGATTTTGCTCTAAGTCATGATAAAGTGCCTTTTGATCAATTTTTCATGGTATGATTCATTGTATAAAAGCAGGACCCTCCACTTTTAGCTAAACAGACTTCCATGAATTTATTGATGCTATTAATATGATATCTACCATTTTTGCCTCTCAGTCCTTTTGCGATTTCAACGTGATATTAAACTGCCCTTTCATCCTGACATTAATATTAAACCACTAGAAGGGATATTTTCCTATTTCCTTTTCCATTTTGATTTTTCTGTCACCCCAAGGTTAACATGAGTGGGTAGAACCCCTGCTCTATTCAGAATTCTAATTTATGCTGAAAATCACGCAGCAACCCCAAAATAAGCAATGTAAATTTTATCTGAGAGACCACTGTCAGCAGGGAGCAAACAGCAATGTGCTCTGGGAATTGTAGCATCTCACACACACTATCCCTCTGCTGCTCCAACCTCCCTAACAGGCAATCTGGGTTCCACCCAAAAAGCAGCAGAACAGCAAACAAAACCCTTTTAACCACATGTTCCCTAGGACTGTAAAATTGCTACAACCTACATCTGTATTCAGTGTCTCCCTCCAAGCAGTGGGATGGGACAAAAAACATCCCAGAATATGCAGAATATTAAGAAATGGTGTTTTCATCGCTAGCTGCTTCATCCTTTAGCCATCAATAGGGAATGATAAAGGAAAACAAAGAAAAAGTAACAGCAAAGGCAGAAGGAAAAGATTAAGGTGGGAAGGGGAAGAGAGGGAAGGAGGAAAACAGGTAGGTAACCCTGGAATTGCACCAAAAGCTGAAATGCTGCCTCTACCCAGGAAAAGCAATATACAGAAGCTGCCTAACAGCATGAGGCAGAAGTAAGCCCACGACAAGTCTGCTTTCATGCTGCTGCCAAACTTGGCAGAGAGCTGCAAAAAGTGCAAGGTCAGACACAGAGGCCAAACAGAAAAGCAGATGTGGTCAAGGGTGATGCAGCCTAAGCTACACATGCCCCCCAACATAACCACAATGAAATGGGAGCAGAGACATCAAGCCAGCTCCAGAGGAGGGGATTTCTGTGTTTTCTCCCCACAGTCTTCCGTACACACTGAAAACCCAATTCTTCCTGTTACCATGGCACTATTTCATCACTGGTGTCTGAGCACAGTTGTAGATACACAAGAGGAAGACACCAAATCCTAGACAGGAAGGTGAAGAAGGGACAAAAATTCACCAGCTCATCACTACACAGACACAGGACCTCAGGAGAGGATTTTAACAGCTACCACTGTCAGCTGGCAGAGATAACCTCACCTGAACTCACACATGTGGGTCCTGGGCCTGTTACTAAGTGGCAGATGATACAGAGTCACACTGTGGATTTACACAGACGTGTGACACTGCTCTCTGGAGTGACCAGTCTGACCTTCCACTTTCTGACCTTCCACTCCAACTGTCCATTGTTTGACTGACATTAAAGGGGAAAGGAGAGACAATGGCACTGTGACAGCCACTCACCCATTCAGTCTGCTTTACTTGGTGATGATAACTCCAGCTCCAAATATAAATACCAATTAAACTCTGGCCTTTGGCAGGAGATGAAGGGAACGCTTGACAGATCTCTTCTATTGTCCACCTCCACAGATCACCTACACACTATCAACTCAAGCTTTTTAATATTTCCATCACAGGATGCACAGATCTGTGCACACAAGAGCCATGGTGAGGTCTTAAGGTAAGTTGGGGAAAACTCAGCCTGCCGTCCTGGGGCATCTAGGGTTGAAGTACTACAGCTGTCTCCAGGCTTGTCAACAAAAGTTCCTGAAAGGCCCATTCCACTCTGCTTTTCTCCTCTAGCTGGAATGGCTGCTTTTCTGACCTTTACAGGAAGCTGTATCAAGGAAGCCACCACTGAAAGCAAACCCTGCAAACAGGGAAGAAACTGATCCTGCTCAGCACACTGCTCAAGGGAGCTTAAGAGAAAGAGAGCCAAGCCACACACCACAGAGTGGGTAGGTCCTGTTAGTGGAAGCACCAGCTCAGACCTGGTTAGGATGACTGTGAAACTGCACCTCTAACTGGACAAGTGTTATTAGGCACACAAAAAAATCTCCCAAACCGACACATTCAACACAGTGCTTCTTGACATGCTCACAGGTCAGAAGAGTGGGATGAGGACTACAAAAATCACAGGATCTGATGTCTTCTGGGTGTCTGCTGTTAAAAGACTCTTGTCTCAAGTGTTCATTTTGCTGCAAGTTTTTTGTTTTATCCCTTAAAAAACAAGGGTTCTGCCTTTCCATAGCCCCGCACTTTCTGCAGTCATTTACGCCTGTGTAACGTGTGAGCAGTGTGGGTGTAAACATTACTATTCTGGTTTGGTAGCATTTGCCACCCACTTTGCCTAGGTGTGAATGACTGCACAAGGTGCAAGGCAACAGTGACAGTGCTGCAGGGACTGTTTTACATAGCTCTTACACCCATAGTAATACAGTGCACAGGGATGGAGGGGATGGAGAGACATTAAGAGAGCAGGAGGAAAGATGCATCAGGTATCTGCCGGAAAAGCAGCCCGGCAAGAGGCCTCACCAAGCACAAGCAGCTCCACTGATTCTTCATTCTTGCCCTCCACATCATCTGGTGTGATAATAAGGCAGTAATAGAGGCCACTGTCTCCCCACATCAACTTCCCAATCTGCAGGTCTGCATCTGGAAGGCAGAAAAGAAAAGTCAGGCTTTCCCTCCAACACTTACAGGAAGGATGGAGTGCTGAATGCACTGCATCCATCTCTGTGTCCCAAACCCATTTCCTTCCCTTACTAAGAAGAGGGGTTAACCTTATCCAGAATCTCACAGTATTCAGGAAAAACAAACAGGCTTGGGACTTGTAGCTGTTGGTGGGAAGACAGATAATGCTGCAGAGGCACCTCACTCTGCAAGTGCCAAGAGCAGAAGAGGTCACTAATGTCCCTCTCTGTCCTTCCTGTCACCTAAGGCTGGGCTACCAACACTGTACACGAAAAGACATGAAAGAAGGGTTTAGCCAGTGTCTCCTCTACAGCACCTCAGTCATTTGTGAAGAGGTTACACAGAGACAAAGGAAAACACTCCCTCTTGTGAGGCTGATCACATGCTCTCCTCACCAAGGAGTCTCCATTTCTGGCAAGGTGGTCACCCCAGTCAGCTGGACACCTTGTAGTTTCAAGGGAGAAAGTCTCTCACACAGCCTTCCAGATAAAAATGTTTCTTTTTATCTGTCATTCTCCATCTCCACCCAATCTGACTTTGCCTCATGGAAACCTCTTCCTTTCACTCTGCCCAAGGCTGTGTGGGTTTAGGTTCATGACAGGGTAAGCTGGTGAAGTCTGCGGCTGAGCAAACATGAGATCTAGGATAATCTTGGTATTTCAAAACTAGGAAAACACCAGTGGCATTTGCAAGCAAGAGAATCCTATCCTGCAGAGACTGAATTTGTATCTCTCCTGCTGCCACCCCTTTGCTTAAGAAAATCTACATACACAGCAATATGCAGAAGTCAGAAATAAAAAGCTTCCACTTCATGGAAGGGGAGAAAGGATTCTGTATCTGAATTGAAGACCTACGTGGAGTCAATCAAAGGGAAGTGCCAAATTACCTTTGGGTCTAGGACTGGTTGGCTGAATCCGAAATGTCTGACAGACAACAGCTCCCTTCCTACAGCCTTTTCTGAGGGAGCCAACTGAGCAATTACTGCCAGACTCCAGTATCCCAAATTGCTACAGGTCCATTCCAGCCCCCACCATGCACCACTGGGGTAGGAGAGTTACCATGGACAATGCTGACGTCTCTTTCCTTATAGAACTCTCCTATGGTGATGGCAGATCCCTGTTTGGAGGCCACGACACGCACTGTCCTCCTGCTGTCCACACAGTCCAGGTAGGGATCCCAGTCCAGGTTCCTCTTGCTCATTGTTTGCAAACCAGAAGTCACCATACCCAGAGCTTCTCCCATCCGGTCCTGGCAGTAGGATTTGTACCTCCACTGTACCACAGCTGGTTGGGTGGAAGAAGTAGAGAAATGGCAGCGAAGCAGAGCAGGCTGAAATAACATGGCCACCTTCTTCTTCTCAGGCACGGTGACCTGCAACCCTTCCACCTCAGCTAGAAGACAAAAAACATGAGTATCATACACCTTGGCACTGCTTGAAGAGGGAGCTACTGCATTTTATCACAGCATCATTCTCCCCACATACATAAAATTGTCCATCTGTTTCAGGTGCTAGGGCACAACACTCAGTGTATGTAAGCAGGGATGTTGGCAGCAGAAATAAGTTTGCTTTTTCATAGCTTACAGTCACAAAGAAAAACACAGCATGAAGGGGCTGAAGGCTCAAATGTAGCATCCTTATGCTGTAGAAGCCCTAACACAATGGTGTGATGATTCACAGCTTCTGTGGCAGGTTCAAATACAAGAAAGAGGTATTTTAGGGATGGCCATGCTCCACTTTTACAGCAGGTCAGTCAAGGGGCCACATCCTGAGCTCAGAATAAGTCACCTCCCTCCCCATTTCAATGGCATCACACCTCCTCTTTATAAGTCAGGCAACACACAGTGCCTGGACCAGCACATTCTGCACTGGTGCCCAGTTAGTGCTGTCTGCTTTGTGCCAAACTCCAGAGATGCATGAAGGAGTGGATCCAAATCACAGAGCTCTTCCCAGGGCTGGCAAGTAGCACTGAGAAAAATCGCTCCATGTGGGAGGTGTGGAGAAAAAGGGCCCAAACCCTCAAGTTTTTCACATTCACAGGGAGGAGAGGGATCTCGACATGTAATGTTTATCTAGCAGCTGACAGGAGAGCTGCAGCCTGGACCTGATGCATAGAGGCCCCAGAGAAGATGCAGGGCACTGCTGCTACATCCTTGTGTAGTTGAGGGAGAGTCAGTGAGCAATGTCAGCCCTTGGGAGAGGGAGGCATTCCATCCACCTGCAGGGATACGGCCAAAACTCCTCTGCATGCCCTTCCTCGCTTCCCTCCTTGTGCTGGAGGCAGCAATGTCTGAGAGCACTCACACAACCCTGGAAAAAGGGAGTCAGGTTCAGTACAGAACATGTCAGTGTTACCACACACCTCGCCCAGAGCAGGTGGAAAACAGGGAGAAAGAGGAAATACAAGGAAGCACCCAAGACAACAAAGCAGAAAGGAAAGTCTACACAACATCTGGAGAAGGGACTGGTGGACTTGGGGAAGTTTAGTGAGGAATGAAAAGACTGAGGACAGAGAAAGACTTCCTGATATCAAGAAGCAGTAGAAGAGAAGAGAAAATGCAAGAAAGAAGAAAAAAAAGAGTAAGGATGAAATAGCAGAGCAAATATAAGAAGCAGAAAGATAAGCAGGATGACAATCAGGAGGCTTGCATTCAGCTGGAAGAAGCTGGAGAAGGTGTATCAGCCCAGGTCAAAATAAGTCCAAAGAGCTGCAGTCAGGTTGCAGGAGATTCAGAAATGTAGAAGAGAGGAAATGGAGTCAGCAAAAATAACCCACTCACTCCAGAAAGCAGAGATGAAAAGAGATGGAAATTGGCAAAAGAAAGTGAAATGACAGGAGATATCTTTAGAATGGGGGGGAAAAAAGGCATAGACTAAAGTGCTAGAGCTTGAAGCAGACAGAGAGAAATAAATGCATCAACTGTGTAACAACAGCAGCCATGAAGAGACAAGGTCAAGCTGGAGACAGCTGCAGACCTGAAAAGCAAAAGTGAGCAGAGATTGCGTGATCAGGATTCAGAACCAGAGGAAAGTGAAGAGGCTGGAAAAACAGTGAATGTTAAATTCAACAAGTTATCACTGTCTAAACTGTAAAGCACAAAGAAGTCTATAAATCCCAATTGGAGAAGAAAACACAGTATGGACAGAACATAGGGGCAAGCTTATTTCAGAGAGGCAAGGTGGTCACTGATACTAAGAGATTTATGAATCTAGGCAGGATTTGACCTTGGGGACTACTATGTGGAGGCTTGAGGAGCACAAGGATGCTCTGGCATTTGCACAGAAATGCTATATTATGCATATAATGAGTGCAGGACATCCTGCACATTGTACTTGTGCCATGTGAGAGTTGCACAGGAGGTTATCAGTTTTGCCAGAAGTGCCTGGACCCAAATCAAATGCTGAAGTGTGGCTGTTCTCCAGAGTACCACCAAGCACAGCTGAGGTCTCCCACAGGACAGGCAGGGGAATGAGGCAGCTCCTGCACCTTCCCAAGACACAGGCAAAGAGATTATTCAGGAAGTGGCAGCTGGGACATTTCTGCCAGGCTTCCTTTACCCAGGGACCAAGCATAGGGGCCATGTGGCACTAAGGGAACACCACCACTTGCTTCTCAAGGTGAACCAAGTGGTCTAATCCTTCACTCTCTAGAGATTCACACTTTCTGAGTTGCACCTGAATGCAAGAAACATGATCAACATCTGGAAAAACCAATGGGTCCATGTCAGACCTGTGTCTGGCAGCTCCTTGCCTGACCCCTCCCAGCCTGAGGCCAAAGCCAGCATGTGGCATGAGCTGATCAAGTGACTCATCACGTTACCTCAGCTTCAGGGATAAAACAGTGACACACTGAATATTTAAATCTTTCCCTTGTGAACCAAGTATGCTGCTTAGTAAACACAGTGCTCTCAGCTAACCATGCACCATAGCCCTCCTTCCCTGCTAATGAGATTAATGAGTTTGGCAAGCCAGGGACTGCTTTAATAAATGATTAGCTGAGCTTTAGCAAATTCTCATCTGACTAACTTTCCCCACCCTACCCCCATGTGAATGTCTATATCAAGGAAAAGCAGCTTTTGGGAAAACACAGGAATTCTTTTCCTACCGAAAAGCATTTTGGAGATGTGCAGAAAATTATCTGGCATCTTCTAGATCCTATCCCAAGCTCTTTATTAACTTCTTAAGTATTATTTTCAGATTCCTTCCAGGAATAGCATTTAAGAGCAACACAGAGCCTCAGATTGGGAGACTGGAGCAGAGGAAACTTTCGATCTATTTAAGTCAAATTATATATAATTATATATGGCTGAACTGGGAAATTATACACCTGTTAATTTCCTCTGCCAAAAAAGGATTACTGGAATTGATTCATGTAGTATGTCACTGCTGTAAAAGTGTCCACCAGAAAGGCCACCAGGATGTTTGACTGCCTGAAGACAAGACGGTGGCTTTACACTGAGCAGTGATGTCCAGGCATGGGAATTATAGGACTTCCTCACCCTCAAGAAGAAACTGCTGGCTTCAAAATGAAGCACAATAAAAGCCTCAGAAGTATCACAGGACAGAACTCTGAGCTGTTAATACAGCAGAGGAAAAAAAGACTGAAATATGTGAAAAATTATGAGAAGCTTAGTGACAGCACCATGGTAGCTCTTTGTCTAGTTCAGTACAAGTAGGACTAAAAAGAAACTGAATTGTGTTGTGCTATGTTTTGACTAATGCAGACAGAGCAAAATTAGCCCTTACTTCAAAGTCATCACAGAAATGCAATTCCTGCACTCTAGAGAAGGAACCTGTTCATTGTGAATTTCACAATGTTTCAAGTTTCACAAGAAATAAATCTAGCTCCTGTAAGTCTCATGACTACATGACTATCTTACTTTCCTCCCTTCTTGCTCTCCTAAACCCAAAGAAAAGGGTCTGAAAATATTAATCAATTGCATCTTCTAAACACAGTTATCCTTGCTATTAGAAGATAAAAAGAATCCATGGTTTTGTGCGCCTGTACAAATATATATATATATACACACACACTCCCAGAGAAAGAACTTAAAATAATCACACTTCCGAAATATAATTGTATGGGGTTTGTCTGTTTCAATTGGCAATGTGCATTTGTCTCCTTGCTCTGATTCCTTTCCTGAAACTATCCTCAGATTATGCATTCAAACTATGCAATCAACACTACACACAAGCTATCACTAATACATTTCACTGGTGATTAAAGAAAATTCCAGGAAGCGATTACAGAGGGGATATTTGTAAGAGCCTGATCTTCCTAAGCGCCTTCCCTGAGCAAGAGAGAAGGCAATTGAGAAGTGATAACTGAGGCTCTTGCTTTGCCATTGACCTCCAGAGAAGCCTCTCCACCTCCTTGAGGTGAAATGAACCCCAGGAAGATTAAGCTTCACTACACATTTAGCCTCTAGGAACAGAATCACAGAATGGCTTGGGTTGGAGGGGACCTTAAATATCACGTAGTTAGAATAAAATTGACCTGAAGCACCGAACCCTGGAAGTAATGACCAAATACTGTAGTTCAGTGGAACATCTCAGGCTGCATCCTTTCTGGAACACAAGACTTGAGTCCAAGAGAAGGCAGCAGACATTATTCTTCAGGTCACATGGGTCTCCCTATCTGTGCATACATCTCATCTCTTTCTTTGCAGTTATTTGGCTCATGCTACTGCTTGCCTGAGGGAGTGCAGCTGCTTCTATGAACGTACAAAAATTGCATCCCCCATTTTCATGTACCTTTATTGACAGGAGTGCTGGTTGTTCAAACAGGGGAATGGAAATCACTGGGTCCTGAACCAGGCACCTCAGGAAAGCTACTCCTAGATTTACCTCGGAGCTTTGGCAGAAAAGCATTCGTTCACTGGTAAGAGACAGTGCCCTTAGGGTAGCTTATACCACTTCCCAAATAACTGTTGGGCAAAAGTATGGTTGTTTTTGGCACCTTGGATACTATGCATCATTTCAAAGTGTTCTCTCCCACACTGCTGGAGACTGGCACACCATTCACACTTTCACATGTGGATCAAGCTTGAATGAGGAAGGGCAAGATCTGGGCTTTGAGACCAGAAAGTCAGAAATTATAAAGAGAAGTGTAAACAGAATGGAGTGTAAAATTAATGGAGAGCTCTTGCCTACTTGATGTTCTTGCCTACTCATGTTGAGCTAAATCAAACCCATGCAATTTATCAGCAAAAGCCATCACCATCAGATTGTGTCAAGTGCCTTACGGCAAATTAATTGGATGTCTTGGTCTGGTTCCTATCAGACTTATGTTCTTAGCAATGTGAGCACTAATTGTCAACTTTTTTTGGAAGCAAGAAACCAATGCCTGAACAAGTCAGCTGCAGCTGAGGTGAAAGCATGACTCTTGTTTTTCACAGCTCCATAGCAAAACCAAGAATTTCAGCTCTCCAGCTACTTAACCTGGAAAGGGAAAAACCCAAAGCAGCTGCAGAAAAGCCTGGCCTTGCACAGCCAGCACTCACAGCACAGAACCTCACAGAACCATGTAGGACAGCCCAGGCTGTGCAAAATGACTGCAGTAGACATTGGACTATTCCTTGCTCTTCCCCATTCTCTGTGGTGCTTTCCCCAGGCACCCCCTGCTCCTCACTTCATTCTCTTCACCAGCTTCCCTGTGCTCCTTACACTCCCTCACCACAGCCCCTTACACACACTCACGAAAGTCACTCTGGACGCTCTCAGGTGAATTATCTCAGCTCTGGACACCAGATCAAACCCACCCTGTCCTACTGCCATCTGAGAACTGTTACAGTTTTAAGATGCCTCCTGACCTAGACTTGGTTCAGCATCCCAGAAATCATTCCCAGAAACACCACTCATCAGAAGCCTGAGAGCAAAGCAAAAGAAATGCGAAGAGTCTCTCCCAGCCTCGTAATTCCAAGCCACAATACCGTCCTTGGGATGGCATTGGGATTTCCACTGCTGCCAGTCTCACTCAAGGTGACCTCACAGGAATACAAAATAAGAAAAACCTGAGATTTCTTCCCAGTTATGCTACACTTATGCTCTGTGAAGCCAGGCAAGGGGACTCAGATGAACATCTTAAATCAAGACAAGTAAAATAGTCCAACCATTTCTCTGCCTTCCCAAGAAGTGTGATCAGCTGGCCAGAAACAGCAAAGCACAGCTGTGCTCCAGCATGCCCCCTCTGCCTGCCCTCCTGAACTATGGCAGGGAAAGAGCAGGTACAGCAATAGCATACAGGGACTGAGTGCTGAATTACTGGTGGAAAAGTACTTATCAGGAAGAAGAGATCCCATTATAATGTGGACAGTCTTCTCATTGTAATTTTTCCAAGCTTAGCCCAAGTTGTGAGGCAGAAAAAAATTAATCTGCTTGTTCTGTACATAAAACTGGAGTTCAGCCTCCAGTGCAGCACTATGCTCTTGTTTTAAATGCATTAGAAATGATAACATTAATAAGAACATGGTAAACACGAGGGGAGGGTTCATCCCATAATCAAGCTGCAATGGGTAATTTACAAGAACAGGCTTTACACAGGGAACTAAGGATATTTGGCAAATTGTATCTTCTTTTTATAGAATGAGAGCACAGTCCCACACATATCTTAACCCGTGTGACCTCACGGGAAGGAATAAAGAATGACCTGCTCTTCATCCGCTTGCAGTTGTTATTAAAACACTCGCTTTAGGCACGTGGGAGAGCACGACAGGAGGGGAGAAGCCAAACTAAATCCATTGTACCTCACACAGGATTTTTTGCAATTGCCGTAAGAACTCACAATGCGCAAAACCAAAGATAAATGCAAGAGCCAAAAATTAAAGACAAACAAAGGACAGAGAGGAATTACTGCTGGGAGGAACGGGACTGAAAGTGCTGATTAGAAATTTCTCAGCCCACCCCGAGGAGGGAGGAGGGGAGGGAAAGGAACGAGAGCCTTCTTTTCGTGCTCCCTTTTGTCTCCCTGCTTCTTCCCCATCTTGCACTCTGTCCTCTGGCCCCTCCACCTCCCAACCCCCACTTCTCTTCCCCAGAGTGGAGTGTACCACTCTGGCTGGATTAGGGCTCCTTACCTTGACGCAGACCTTTCATTCCTCTGCACAGCCACTGGGGAGAGGAAAATGTTGAATCCATGTTTGCTAGCCCCCTCTTCCTTTTCTGTACACACACACACACACACACACTCACACACCTTTGCTCATTTGCTTTTTCTCGGCTGTGAAAAAGGACATCAGCACCTGATTTTAGGCTGGGCTGGAGGCTGGAGGGGCGCAGGCGAGCACCGAGCGCCTCCATCTCTCAGCACACAGCTCTGGATAACCTGTTGCCTGCCGGAAGCCTGTGCCTGCCAGCTCTCCACAGCACCAGCAGCACGCAGTCCTGTCTCAAAACCACAGGGCTGGAGGAAACTGGAAGGTCTTCCCACTGCAGCGGTACCTCTCGCTCTCTCTGCATTGACCCTGCGTGCTCCAAGCGAGTGCTCGCTGCCAGCAATCCTGAACTGCCCTCAGTGGAAGGAGGAAAAGTGTCAACAGCCCGGTCTTTTAGCTTGATAAAAAACTCCTGATTAGCCTGACGTGTCCAGATAAAGAAGCTCTTTAAAAAGAGGGAGGAATGTAATGTCATGTTTAGCTACACCCTGTACTCCTTTGCCGGTCCTTGGATGCTATTTATCGGCACGCTACTATGGCTAGTAGGGAAGGAGGCGAAGCTGTGGGTGCGCTGGCACTCCAGACCAACTCACTGAAGTGGGATACATTTGGAAGCAGCCAAATGGCAGGGAGGGAGGAAGAGAGAGAAGGGAGGGTGAGCTGGAAGCTGCTGAAGCCCCAGATGAGGCCGTGAAACCCTGGAAGGGAGCAGTAGGCAGGCACCGGTGTTGGAGATGACTCAGAGTGAAAATGCAAGGAAAGGGGTGGGTGGGTGGTGGGAGAGAGGTGTTATGACTAAAAGCCGAATTTACTGCTTGCGAATCCTAAATCCGAATAGGAAGAAGGAAGAGGCTGAGGTCTTTTTTGTGGGATACATAGGTGACAGTGGGAAATATATGCCACTTAACCCAAGCGTGTCTGCTCCTTCTTTCAGCTAGCAATCAGCCTGCCTGGCTAAGTCATCCTACTGCAGCTTTTCCTATACAGCCTGCTGCTCCTGCCTGTGCGTGGTTGCTGCACCGGCTCACAGCAGGCAGATCTTGCCCCTGACCCGACACGGCTTTCTCTTTCTCCCCGGGGTTCTCCGCCGCTCTCACCCTGCTGTAATCCCCTCCCTCGCTGCCCAGCTCTCAGACCCATCCCCTTTTCAGCTCGTCCCCCCTGCCCTCTCCCCATCACTGAGCACTCTCTGCTCGTCTCTCGGGCTCCCCTCCCCCTGCCCTAGGGGGGATCTTGCCGGACCTT